CTGCCAGAATCCAAAATTTATCGGTGCCGTCAACGATCCGAGCAAAGGCCTCGAAAAGTCTTCAATTTAGAGCGGCCGAAGATGTTTGTATAAAATCTACCACTTGTGTTTCTTCTTTAATTAGGCAATAATGAGGGACAGCTCACTGGTTTAATCCCGCTTACCAATGTAGCCTTTTCGCCAATAAAGCGTATAAACCCGATTGACTTCGGTCCTCAATTTACTTCTACTCCTATTTCTTCTTCGGCGCCGGCGAATCACGACGTAAAAGTTTCTGTTTAGTATCCCTGCAAAATTGTAAATAAAAAACTTTAAGGAACTTATGGGAATGTCGGTAAAGCATTGGTTCATGGAGTCCCGTTACGAATTGCTGGAGCAATAATGAACTGCCCGCCTGTAAAAAAGCATGTCATTGGAAAGGTGATGACAGTTGTTAAGGGCCGCCATCTTGATTTTGTAACTCAGGAGATCGTGGAACGATAAAACGAGAAGCATTATTGCTCGAGTCATCTTTAGAAAACTTCGCGCGCGACAGTTCCAGAAAATGGAACTGTAGCTGTGATTGGCTAAAATCGGGAAAGGAATGTGGTTCGAATGTGAGCAGCCGTTCCTTTTGGGGGAGTGTTGCGTGACATCCCGAGACACGGCTACGAAGGAGGCCAGTGTAATGTGAGAAAATTTTCCGATGCCAAGAACAAGTTTGGCTGCTGCGTTTTGAACACGCTGTAATTTAGCGATCTGCACTTTTGGTAGGCCAAACAATAAACCATAGAATAGAATAGAATCTTTATTTATACACCATAAGAATTAAAGCTAAAAAGCTTCTGGGGTCGTGTATTTAACAAAATAATATCTACCCAATTAAACTGTTAATTATACTGACACATTTCAAACTAGATAAGAAACAATAATACAGTACAACATCGATTTTCCTCTTAACTTAAAAATACTTGTAATCACTTAATCTATTCCTAGCCGTCGAACCTGATAAACTAGTAAAAGTAAAGCTTGTGAAGTGATTATTTCTCCTGAGTAGCCTCCTAAGATTCTTAAGGGCGAAAATACCTACATTTTTGACATGATGGTTTACATAGTTCCATAGCACCGAACCTCTATATGCTAAAGAGTCCTTTAACAATCTGGTGTTGAATATAGGTAGGGTTATAATTGCTTTTTGGTCTCTTATTGAATAGCTACATTCGCGCCTTATGAATATGCTATTAATTAGACTGAGGTAGTGATACTTTACTTGCTCTGTAAAAAAGGTTGACTATTTGAAATTTGTATTCTAAATTGATCGTATCCCATCCTGAAACGTTGAGAGCTACATTAGATGCCGTATTTCTGGATGAGTTGTAGACTATTTTTGCTGCTTGGCATTACGTCAGTGAAAAATTGCATTACGTAAGTGAAAAATTGACTCAACGCTGTAAAGAGAATCTCTCTCAAAACTTACTCTTTAAGAGTAGAAGTTGCCGTACAATTTTCAAACATTACTGTTAGGTTTTTTGACGCATTGATAACCTTGTAAATAGCTCAAACATATTAAAAACATTTTCCTTTCGGGTTTGAAGTTTCGAGGGGGAACACGTGCTACAGCTTACACGACGTATTTCAATTTTAACCGCTGTACTATAAACTTGTGTGTTCGACCCCCGACGAACGCCATCGATACGCCCTTCGATCTTGGATCATTACCGTTACTCGAATTTAACATAGCTGAGAAGTGGTTAGGGTACGGTTGATCTGTACCTCGAAAGACTTGTTCGACGTTTCTAAGCGAACGATTCACTCTAAGGTAAAGTCATTCATGTATCACATACACATGTACTTTTCAACTTGATTCACAACCTCTCGTGGCTCGATGCCTCAGACGAACTTCCTGTTTGTTGCAGAGATGTTCGTATTTTGCGGAATCGTCGCGTAGTTACACTTGGTATCTCTATATTTGATAGATTTTGATGTTGACTCGCTTATTCGTTACCATTTTAACGAATCTCACTAGAATCGTTCTGCTACTAGCCACGAAATACTTCAGTGTTTAAAAGACAGATTGATAGAAGTCGTGACTTTGTGCTTCGGTCAGCACTTTCTGTACGATGGAGACATAGTCGTATTTTGCGAATTGCTGCGCATAGTTGTACTTCATAGCTCTATTTTCAGCAGTTTATTAGTCGATTAACGTATTATTTATTATTTTGGCTGGATTGTTTCGGCTACTAGTCATGAAATATGGGATTACAAAGCCAAATCGTTTTAAACGCGTGGCCGGGGTAGTGCTTTAGTCAGCGCCTTCCGCATGCTCGTTGAAGACATCTTCATACGCTAACCAATTGTTTATTTGTGCCGAGCAACCTAAAAAGTTTTTACATTCGGTAGTTTGGCAAGATTCCTTATAACCCCATACTTCATTATGCATAAAATTCTTGGATAAAAGCGGATTAGATCAGTATCCACATGTATTTTGCGCTCTATAAGTAAGTAATAAATTTTAAAAAAATTGAATGAAAGAAAACAGAGGTAAAACAATTGACTACCTTTGGGACTTCGGCAGTTTTAGTTG